TTTATATATAGCCTAAATATAGTTGTTCTAATTTGTTAGTAAAATTTAATATTTTATTTTGTTTTAGCTATTTGATGGCATTGAATGTGAATTTCCCATATTTTTCCTTTACATGATGATTGATGGTAAGTAAGCTTTTTCCTGAAATTTAAGCTGTAGTATATCAGTGGTTTTAAAAGAGCAGAAGTGAAATGACTCCTTTCAGCTAGTAAATAGACCACAATTCTGTGATGTTAACAGCTCAGCATTTTTATATGCTACTCTTCTGCTTTCTGATCAAATGTTAAATCATGTAAAGATTTTTAAAACTACCTTGAAGTACTTAAAAATGATACTAATATATTATTCTTGTTTACAAAAGCTTTTTATTAATAGAAATCACGAATTTAATCATAACATTGTAAAGATCTGTAACATGACTTTAGAGAATCAAGTTCTTGGAAAAATATCTCAGACATTTGCATTACTTTTTTCAATTTTATTTTATCATTTAACATAAAAAATTACCACAATAATTATGAAAGAGCTAATAGATTTTTCTAAAGTGAGTTTGTGATGCTTGTTGAACACAGATGCTATTTGATTTTATATTTTACATTTTAGGAGCTTTTAGAGGCAATCCCAAACAAGTCCAGGAGTATCAGGATCTTTTGACTCCAGTGCTTCATCAGACTACAGAAGGTACAACTGTTATTCTAGAATGTTCTTATGAAATGTGTAAATGAGTCCTTATAAAATATAATAATTTATATTAAATTTTTTAAATGAAGGAGGACTCAAATTAAATTAAATTTATTTAATTAATAAATTAATTTATTTTAATAAATCTTTTTACCAAAAAAATTCATTAGGGTAGACAAGGATAGAGATGAAATAGACAATCGTGGCTATAGTGGTGCTGCAATAGTTTGCATGTGGGTGATTTTTTTCATCTGTTATTTATTATGTAGCTTTTTCACTCTTGGTAGTGTGACAGTAATATATAAAGTGGCTGGTTTTAATCCTGATCATCAAAAAGGCTATAGTCAAGTGAATTTCCCCTCTTAGCCTCCCTCTCATGTAGAAGATGCCTGGAAAGGCCCTCATCTTGTCTGAAGGCACTAATATTGCCAAGAACACTCTAACCTCCTTTTTAGGGTTGCTTCTAAGGCCTATAGGATTGTGTTTTGAATACCTGCTACTATGCTAAGATGTCATCCTTTGAAGATGGGTATAATATTTTATAAATCGTCAAATTTCCATTGTGAGTCCTCACTGGTTTTAGTCAAACACCAGTGGGGCCATAAAAGAACATAATTGACTATTCTATATAACTGGAAAAGTAATTCCCAAAGGTGTTCCACAAGAAATTTTCTAGATATCTTTAGGATTGTAAGTATTAAGTAGAATATGAATATTCTCATGAAAGAACAGCTTTTAAAACATTTATATGGAAATTAAAAATGATGGTGTACTGGTTTTAAAAAATGTGATACAGTCGTAAGACGTATGTCTTTGTGATATTTGATGTTTTCCACAAATATCTCAGAGTAAATATTTCATATTTTGTGCCCATCTTTTACAGATCTTGTAATATTAAAAATTGTGAGATATTTATGCATTAACATTGGATTACAAATAAATACTAATTTTTAAAACCAGTGTCCTTTAAATATTAAATTACAAATAAATATTAACTTTTAAAAGCATTTATGTCTTTATGCTCTAAATAAGCATTTTCCTAATGAGTGAAATAATGTAATGAATGTACTGTTTGAGACCTTGAATTTGCATATCATAGATCATTTCACTGGTTTTAGACATACATATCAGTATTGATAGTTGCCTGAAGAAGGAAGCAAAATTTTAAGGAAATCTTAAAACATCGATTTTATTAGGAAAATTGTTTACTATGGGTAGATATTACAAAAAATACTCTAAAAAGATCCTACTCCTTAAATAATAGTTTAGTTTCTACAAAGAATATTTAAATGAGTTAGGCACAGGGAAAGGTGAATTTTTTTTTCTTCAGTGATATTGAATGGTAGATAATGGGCTTAATATTTAAATAGGGATTTCTTTGCTCTAAGCAGTGGCTCAGGGTTATAATTCTTTTCTTAAGATCATACAGTACCTATTTGTGAAGCAGCCGTAGACTAATCATACTAAAAACAACTTTCTCTATGGCTCTATATATTTGCATATTGTATATTTGTTGGTTTGTTTAAAGCTGTTAAAGTTAATGTTATTAAAGATGTGTATAAATTGTTGTCTAAATCATTACAGTATGCTGTTGACTTAGTGTTTTAAAATCAAGAAGTTTTTCTCCCTGTTTTTCACTGGCAATATCTGAAAGAAACCAGAATATCCCATCTTCTATAGTTGTCAAATCCACTGCCTCCAGTACAATCATTCTATCTGTCTGCTTTCTAGTGATTTCAGGGTCTTTAACAGAAATTTCAGAAGGACACTGCTTTGTTACATTTTAAATATACTTATTCTTAAACCTTATAGGATATCCTGTTGTACCAAAATACTATTATGTGCCAGCTGACTTTGTGGAGTGTGAGAAAAGAAACCCTGGTAGTCAAAAGCGATTTCCTAGCAACTGTGGCCGTGATGGAAAACTATTTCTTTGGGGACAAGCCCTTTATATCATTGCAAAACTCCTGGGTAAGTGGAGAAGGTTAGGAACATTTTTTCCCTCTTGTTATCAAGCTGTTAGAAATAAGTAGGTCTTTGCTGATGTTTTTCTTGTATTTGGGTGGTATTTCATGCTGTTAAGAGGCCTTTGGGGGAGTTTCTTAGTGTGTAAAAGTATATTAACATATCTGTTTTACTGAATGATGATGGACAGTTTCTGGGAAGAAAGTCAAACAGGTATGGGTATTATAATCATTTAGGGGGCTGCATTCAGCTTAGTAGGAAGATTTCTAGCAAAAGTCTAATAGAATTTTGAATTATTTTTATGTGATACAATAAAAATTTGATTTACTATTAAGAGTCACATTTGAACATTGTGTTAGTAAACTGCTTGTCAGGAAGAATCGACCATCTTTGAAAATTCTTTTTTCTCCAATAAATAAATGTTGACAGTTTTTTTAGTTAGCTGAAAGTTTAATGGGACTATTTGTTCATAATTCTTTGGAGTTACTTTGTAGCTTTTCCCACAACTTTAAGCTGAATCGGAGTGCTCTTGGATACGTGGAAACAGATAAATTTGGTAAACATAAAACATCACTATGTATCTCCTGTGCCATTTGTTGCTAAAATTTCAAATATTGCTAGTGTTTCCATCAAAAGGGCTATCATTTTAAAGTTAGAATTCCTTTATGACTAATGGGTTATGAGGCAAGCTTTGTAAATACTTTACCTGCACTAAAAAATAACTACTTACTATATGAAATATTGTTATTGCCCTTGTTGCTTCTAACATTTCTATATAAATGCTAAATTAGTTTGTGCTGTAACAGTAATCATCATTGGTTTCTTTTTTTATGTTCCATTAGAGAGGAATATTTCAAACACCAGATTTTCAGTTTGAGCTTTGTGTATAAGAGCAGACAGAAACAAACCAAAGAAGAGAAAATTAAGTTAATGCTTTTTTCAGTTTGCTCCTTTTCTAACTATATTTTTGCAGTCTCTATGTATATACTTAATGCTAATTTAAGAACATATAGAAAAATTTTCATTCTTTCAAAGGGCAGCTTTTTAACAAGAAGTTGATATTTACAGGCTTTCCTTTTAGAATTTTCAAAGGGAGCAAGAAATATACATAAAATAGTTTTCTTAGAATCAAGCCAAGTTTGGAAAGGTTATTTCTGGACAGAATGTGATTTCTATCTTATTTCCATAAATATAAAGAAGATTTTTGATAACAGCTAAATGAAACGTAATTTAGTAGGGGAGTAGTTAACCTATTTAAAGACAAGAATTTTAATATCAGAATCATCAGTTTCTGTACACTTTGAAATTATAAATGAGCATGACAAATTTTTCTGTGATTCAGAGCCCAAAAACTGACACCTAGGACCTGGATTTAAAGTCAAAACCTTTCTTACCTCCCTATCTTTGCTAAATGTTCAGTCTGGGGTTGATACAGTTAGAAGGAGTATTGCTTGAGCAAAGAAAGGCTTTGAATTAAATTGACAAGGCTACTGAGTTGGGAATACAGAATTGAGTATACCCCCCATAAGCAAATTGAGCTTAAAAAAAGAAAAATGTAGGTATGTATTGATTAACTGATGGTCAACATCTTTAACCATGAGAGAAATGCAGATCAAAATTACATTGAGATTTTATCTTATTCCACTCAGGGTGGCTAGCATCAAACATACAAAAAACAGTAAATGCTGGCAAGGGAGAAAAAAAGAAAAAGATTGACAATAGTATCAATCAGTAAAAAAGCACTGCTCCTTCCTTACTGCAAAATAAAAGGAAATGGATCTTGAATACAGGTAGCATTTTCTCATGATAAGACCAAAGTGCACATAAATAGTATAGGTCATGCCTTCATTCTTTGTTTCATGACCAAAATGCAGCAGAAATACTGCAGGGCTCCCTTAAAAGAGAGTCAATTTCTCTTTTTCCCTGCTGAGTTTCTTAAAAGACAGTAGAGAACATGCAGAAGTTATATGAAATATGAAACTACATACCGACTTCCTGCTGATAAAAGAGATTCTATGTACTCATTAATACTTTGCCTTAGCCATGTGTCGTCTGGTTAACAACTCACTAGTTAAGATGAATAATATTTCAGAAGTCAATCATTTAGTTGCTCTTAACTACTGCATATTTCCCTCAAGAACCATCCAACATCTATGGATTTTTATTAAGATAGCACATTTACTAACAAAATCTTATTTATTCATTAAAGTAACCTAAGATATCTGCTTAACACCATTCTGTGGACAATTAGTTAGAGTTACTGTTTTTTACATGAAACTAATCAAATAGTGAATCTTTAAAAACATTCTGTAATGTTTGACTCTCACAAATTCAGGCCAGTGTGTATTCCACTGAAATCTAATAAAAATACTTTGCCTTATGTATATCTGAGTGAATAATTATACACAATTATGTGTTGTGTCTTCTATTTCATTATTAGAGAAAAAAGACACATATGCTGTTTCTTAAACCAGTCCTGAATACCTGCTGTGATATTAGAAAATCATTAATTTTTTATAGTAATTTCTTTTTTGCCTTAGAAAACTGACTTAGAAAAATTAATATTTGCCATACAATAACTAAATACACTATAAACATGTTTATTTTAAGCTATGTGCCATATTTCATGTTAAAATATTTGTCTTAAAATGATTATTAGTTATAACTTCAACTTGTTATGTAAATTTGAATATGTCTGTTGCTTGTTTAAGACCACTATATAGAAAGCAGGGTACTTTTTTAAGCTCTTTGCAAACATAAATAACCCTAAAAATATTTACCTTACAGAAAGTCACTTGAAGATCATGATCTTTAGACTGAAAGATTTTTTTGAGGTTCTGAATACTAACAGATACAACATTAATGATAATTTTATTCTAAAACTACCCTAAAGGCATTATATAACATATATATATATATACATATATACATGTTCTTATTTGATGTATATCTGTCACTTAGCTTTAAGAAATTTCACTTGTAGCTTTCAGCTTGTCTTTTTGATATGCATGCATGCAACCAACTTATTTTGTATAGTAGACATTTACAGGGATGACCTTCATTGAGCTACTATTAGAAGATCCCAAATCATTATACATTAGAATTTTATATACTGTGTAGCTTAAGGAAGGTAAGTAGATGAATTTTTTAGGGTGCATATTTTGAAAACATTAATAAACATCAACAATTAAAATAGAACATGTTCTTTAAGCTTGAACAATTTTTAAGCAGTCTTAATTAACTTTCTCTCCCATACACACAAACTTCTAAAATATTCAGAAGAATAAAATTTGTTCTTGAATTTCAGGAAATATGTTTTTTTTTTCATTAAGTTTATTGGTACATTTTAGGTATACAATATGATGACATTCATCATTGGGAATTTGTATCTTTACATGATATATCTTGGTTCTTATTTTTTTCCTCATTCCCCTGCCCTCCCTTCAATCCCTTCACCCCTTTCTATTTACAAAGACTTTGTTTCCATTTTTTCCTTATCTCATATTTATTCCTTTCTCTAAGAAAGATCTTTTTTAAAGAACAGGTATTATTTCATTTCCTTGGATCACTAATATGGACCTTTAAAGTGATTAAATACATATAGAAATACTTTAAAATGTCCAAAATATTGTATACATATAAAATCCCCACGTGAATTTTTTGGATTTCTAAATCCCTTAAGTCATTATTTGGAGTCAAATTTATTTTCCTGTAGACAGTAAATTTGTAACCATGAGATACAGATTGTTTTTCTACCTTAGGTTTTTCTTTCACTTCTCCTCTTCTGGTTTTTCTTCTTTTTTCCTTTTCTGCTTGTTTTTCCTGGAATGCAGGGGAAACAATAGTGGTTTTGAGATCATAAACTTAAAAATCATTTCAGAGTTTGTATACAAGTTCTACCACCTCCACTACCTGACTTGAGAAGCTTATTTTAATTTCCATGAAGATCAGTTTCCTTATTTTATAAGGATTAGCTAATGAGGAAATACATAGAAAGCATTTACTTTACAAGAAATATATACTTAAATGATTCTTTTAGTTGCTGTTCTTTGTTCTCTCCTCTTTTCCTGTCTGCTGAATTTAGAAGACAGTATATGAAACATACATTTCATAGTTTTGTTCAGGCAGGCAATCAGGATCCACATGAGCTCTTCTTGTAGGTACACCATAGCCACAAAATCAATTAACTTATTAAGAAAGAAAGAGAGAAAAAGAAAAGTCCTTCCCCAGTTGCTGTTTAACCATTCTTCTGCTCACTGATTCTGTTTTTGGAGGCCTCCTCTGTGATAGTCACCATGGTAATCCACTGGCTTTATTATTATAGAGTCTACAGTAAGACCAATAGCACATACTTCTTTCTCTCTAAGAGCAGCTTAATTATTCTGATGTACTACCTTCTAAGTCCAGTGTTTGTAACAAAGCTAAGTCTGTTTGATTTTATTTCATTCATGATGTTTCTTGCCCAGTTGACCTCAAAGATAAAAACCACTGATTAATCCTAGAAATTCTTTATGAAGTCATTGATCAAATGCCTCCTATTGTATAGAAGGACACAGGAAACTGAGGTCTTTTCATTGGTTTATTGACTTCAAATACATCTGACTCTTAGGATATCACATGTTACTACTAATCAGTTAAAGATAAAATGAGTAGATAAGAGTGTACAGATACATTTCTATATTGTAGTTGCTAAGAGATTTCCCAGCTGTTAAACTTTAGGAAACTTGAAGCAGAAAGACATCAGTTTCCTAGCAATTTCATTCTTTTTCATGGTATCCATGTGATTGCTAGTGACTTAAATTGAAATTTCTACACAGCAGGTATGTACATCTTGAGAACACATGTAATATTACTTTAGAAGCTTTTCCTAGGAAGATTTTCTTTCTTTAGCTCATTGTAAAAATAACTAGCCTTTTAAAAACTAAAACATAGTAGTTGAATTGCTGCCAGAGCTAAAAATTTTCATAAAAATTGTGTTCCTACCCCCAAATTTACTAGTAAAAATG